TCTCTCTCTCTCTCTCTCTCTCTCTCTCTCTCTCTCTCTCTGCAACTGACGTTTTCTCTTAACACATTCGACATAATGAGTCACATTGGCCATAACCACATGACATAAAATCTAGGAACATGCACAGCATAAACACAACCCTCAGTTGCGATACATCAGTGTCCAATGCACGGGCATTTAAAAAGTTAAAATCCTTGAATCAATCGTGTATCCCCTGTCGGCTGACGTGCCCTTACGTGTAACAATTTCCCTGGTGATCTCTTCAATACAAATTACCATTTTGGACTTTGGTTCCCCTCTTCCCCTTGTAATAGGCTGCGCTTCAGTCTGTCAAGCACATACCCTGCCCCTCACATACAAGTTAAAGCATTATAAGTGGGAAAACGCTATGCCAAAATTCTGATCAAAAGAACGAGAATCAAATATTGCTTTCATAAGAATAGATGTTGTGGATCTTTAAAAGTTAGAAACAGAAATTTATCTCCTGATCGACTTAATGGAGAAGGGGCAGTTTCATAGGCGGGCGGCAAGTGCCTTGTCACATCGCTCTCATGGGTGACAAATCGGACAGAGGATGTTTTTGACTTGTACCGGTCTATAACATCAGTTTAGAGTTTTGGATAAAGTTAAAGAGACGCACACTGACACGTTGACGTTCATTTAATGATGTGAAAAAGCAAGAAAAACGGAGAGAAACAACAGAGGCAAAGCAAAGGTTTAAAAAAACAACTAGTGGCGCCCTTCGACCACCCACTTGAAAAATGAAACCAGTATTACCTCGGACACTGTTCACAGAGAGGGAGACGTTACTGACGCAAGGGACTGAGCTCCAAATAATTAAATAGAAATACAATGTACAGGAAGTATATAATGAAAGACTATGATTACATGTATGTTCATTGAGTACAGTGTATCAGCTCATACAGATGTGCGATACGTAAATAATGTATTCGGGGAAGGGAGGGGGGGTGTCACTAGGAGGAGGGGGAGAAGGGGGACGGTGGAGGCAGGAAAGGAAGGTGGAAGAAGGGAAGGGAAGTGACGAGGGTCCACTTCATGCCTTCAGCTCTAAAGGGTGACACTAGGCTAAAGAACCGTCGAGAGGGTGGGGGGAGGCGGGTTCCTTTAAGGACGTGGAGTGTTGAAAAAGGGGGAAAAGAATGTCCATCACAGCCCAGGAATGGGAATTTAGCGAGCAAACAAGCCGTAACTGTGAAACTGAAGGGACCAGGAACACAGACCCAGTGGACAACCCAAATGTGCGAACAGAAATTGCGATCAAAGTTTGAGAGAAGAGGGAGGCGAGTTTGGAAGTTTTACAAACTCAATGGAATGAAAACAATGAACAGCCTGATTCCGTCAACATACAAGCCACACACGTCCTGTGTTGGGAAAGATCGCACGGGGAGCAGGATTAACATAATTTAGGGAACATAGGATTAATCTCAGTGCACGCTCATAAATACAGAACAATGTCATGATATTATAGTGGGACATGAGACGTCTAACAAGAACGCACACAGAAGCAAAGAAAAATGCAAAAACAAAAACCCCGTGCTCACAATTAATGTGAAATAAAATACTTTGATGGATAACAAGTAATCACAGAACATATTGTCTAGTTGCAAAATTATAAACAACACAATGACAACAGAAAAGCAAGATCATTTACACAGATGAAATAAAATCCCACGAAAAAAAATACGAATTCATACAGAAATAGAAAGATGCTAAACATCTGACAAGGACAGCACTGACGACGACAACAGTCACAAACAGCAGCTGTATAAAAAGGGGGAAGACATAACACGCATAATACACGTATACTGACCATCACAAACAATGTCACCCCAAACAAAACATGAAAACAAGCTGGAAAAAAACACACAAAAAAACACAAATATAGAAACGTAAGACTTTCTCTCTTTTCATCTCTGCCCCCC